GGCACAGAGGGTAGAGTAGCCTGGTCTGGTGCTGTTGTGGAGAGCAGAGTGCTGGAATTTTGTGTGAGGTCTGGAAGTGTGAGGTAGACTACCTGTAGATGGAGCATCCATCTGATTTCTTGCAGTCCTGACTGTGACAGCAATCAAATGGTTATAATTATTGTATGCTGCAGCAGGGTTCACAAGCCAGGTCTTTGGGGAAACTCACCTTTTTTGGTATTTATGTGTTTCTGGTACTTTTTTGAGGAACACACATAATGACCTGACATAATCTGTGCCCAATTTAAGCAGTGTTGGCTCTAGTTGTGTGGAACAGCTGAAAAACACATTTCTCTCTGTCAACACTTGCCAAGATCTTCAATACTTCTTCTAAACTATGAAGGAGTTAAAGATTCTAAATAACTTTAGGAAAATTATGGTGGGAGTGGTAGGCAATCTAAATACAGGGGTCACAAGTGTTCCCTCTGTGATCTCGAGTTACTCTGTATGAGCTGGGCACTGGCAATTTGTAGCAATAGCCTCTTAGGCTTTTATTTGATACTTAAGGTATGTTTTTGGTAAAACAGTCTCAAATAAGGAGTTGTATCCAGAACTTCAAGCAAAATGCTTGAGTAACTTCTTGTGTGTGGAAGGAAAGGGGGCTGGAGTGGGGGAAGCTACTTAGTGCAGGGGAGCACTTAAGTGCCTGTGTGTTACTAAGCCTAGCAACAGGAAGTTGTCATTCATAAGTGAGATGCTTCTACTGAGTGTTTTCTTTAGGTGAGTTCTAATGTCAGTATTTATTACAGGAAGGGAGTGTGTGTGGTGGTTGTTTTGTTTGTTGTTAAGCAGGGCCTTGTTTGGTACGGTGCTCTGTAGTTGTCAAGGGTTAATGTAGGTTCAGTAGGTTCAAGAGGCTTTACTTCACTGGCATGTATTTTCTTGTCTTACCAACAATTTTAGGATTTGTCCTAGGATTTGGAGAAGTTAAGTTAGTTCATTGGGTGTCATTGTAAAAATTCTGAGGTAATCTGTAAGAATCCTTGAGAAAATTAAATATTTACTACTAAAGAGCGTTGTTTCTCTGGAGTTAAGTGTTCACAACCAAGGAGCTGACATGTCCTTTCTCTGGTATATGTGCATTGTAGCAGCTTTACAAGCCAGTTGACTCTTAGCATTATATGCAACTTTTCTGTTGTAAAGCATATTGCAAAGACACATGCCTCTAGCAAACCTTGCATTTATTGTTACTTTTATGCTTGTAAGATTTGCAAACTCGGTATTTTTTATATAATCAGTTGTAGAAAATACTATGTATAGTATTATCCTTTTGAGATAAGGAAATATGTCCTGTAACTTGGGGCAGTGTGAATATTTAACCTAGAATAATGCAGTCCCATAGTGCTACATATGCAAAGAAGGAATTGAATTTGATGGTGTATCCAAGCCATTTACTTTGTCTTACTTTTCCTGAAAATATTCATGTGGGTTTTAAAATAACAATACTTCCTGTTTATTAGAATCTTAAAAGTAAGAAAATAAGTTCTTGAAAGAACATGTTGCTTTGCTGTAACTCAAACAGTAGTGGTAATGCTCACAAATAATTTTGGTGGTGGTTTTTTCTTTTTTTTTTGAAAGAGGTTCTGAAGTAGTAGTATACATTGCTTCCCTCGGACCCTGATTATCCTTTACTTTGTAAAATATGTTAAATAGGTGTAGACACATACGAAATGTCTGTTTGATACAAAGTTGCATGATTTTGCTTAGTTAAATAGGAAGACTTGATTACTGATTGGCAGTTAACACATAAATAGAAGTTTTTGGTTAACTTTTAGAGAAAACAGGTCTGACTTTATATCTAGATTACAGCATCAGACTTGTGTTATTTGTACCCCATCTCTGTGGAACACTGTGTGGCTTTGTGTGGAATGAATATTTCAGTAGTCTAATAGTGCAAATTAAAAAAAACAAAGTACAAGCTTCTCACTTGTTCAGTATTTCTTGTACACTAGAAACTACACTAAATAAAACTCCTTTTTTTTTTTTTTTTTCCTTTCCCTTCAGAATTCACAATGACGAATGAAGAACCTCTCCCAAAGAAGGTATGTTTAAAATTACTTGTGACTTCACCCTCCCAGGTAATCATGACAGCTTGATAAGTTGTGCTTTTCTTTTTGCTTCACAGGTTCGCCTTAGTGAAGCAGATTTTAAGGTTTTACCTAGAGATGAGCTTATCCTAAGGTAAAGTAAAAAGTGTTGTTTTTGTCTTAACATTTTAGTGAACTTCTAGTGGAAGATGTGTGAATTTACTCTTCTGGGTTTTTTTAGCGTCCTTGTTTTGAAAAACTATTTTATCTGTTTCATGATACAACTCTTCTGTAAAGTTGTCATCTCAAATAATTTTATTTGTAATTTGGGAGGGAACCCTTTTTCCAAAGAGGCAGAATTCCCGAATAATATTTAATACATTAATAGAGTGGTTTTTCCTTCACTTGTAAGCAGTCGTATCTTCTGTTGTTACATTCCTTGCTAGATAGGAAGTCCTGAAACAATCCCTCAGCCTTAGCCATATTGTTCACCACCATTGGTCTACCCTGGCCTCCAATCGGGAGGCCTGGAGACACACCATCTATAACGCTGCTGCTGCTTTTGAGAACACACGCAGGATCACTCTCGAGGAGAAAAGACAACGCCGAAAGAATCGCATCTTGTCACGCGTCTTGACACCTGGGGAGTCATTCTGCTGTACCTTCTGCAACCGGACTTGTCTATCTCGCATTGGCCTTTTTAGCCATCAGCGTGCTTGTAGCAAGCGTGGGTAGAGCCCCTCTCAAATCTTCGTTCGTGAAGCCTAGCCATGATGAGATAGGAAGTTATTTTCAACATCAGAAAAATATCAGCTTCTTACTCCTACAATATGTTTTAGGAGTCCATGCAGTCATCTTCTCAGCATGTTCAGATATTAGCAGTAAAGTGTTAAAATTAATTAAAATTAAGTTAAAGTTAAGAACTTGCATAAGGAAGAGCCTAGCCATCTTTTGCACCTTTTAGAAAGTAAAGGGTCACCATGGAAACAGTAATAGGCAATACTGTTGCACAGACCACCTGCTTGGGAGCCCCCGGTGGTCTAGGGGAAAAGACACTGCACTGTCACTGCAGAGACCCGGGTTCGATTCCCGGTCGGGGCCCCTCCCCGGGCAGATGGAGCTCGTTAGCCCTGTAAGGCAATCCATCTACGTCCTGAGGACCTCGCTGCCACCGTCCAAGCGTGCTTGGCCCCGGCAGATGAACCTCAGGA